TAATCAGTGGACCCAAAGATTTGTTTGAACTTTGTTTTCACAACAGCATTTCATCACTTATTGTCTGAAAAATAAGTTATCCCAAAAACTGAAAAGTTAATCTGCATGCCTATAAATTATTCATTGTTGGAATCTAGTAAATTGAAAAAATTATGAACATAAGAACTGGAGTGGGTCATTCAGGCCCTTGAGCCAACTGTACCATTCTATTAGATCATGGCTGATCTGCAGCTAAGTCTACATGCCTGTCTTAGGCTCATATCCCTAGATAGTCTTCTTTAATAAAACATTGTCTATCTCAAATTTAAATCTAACAATTGAGTTCGCATTGACCGTCATTTGAAGGAAGAGGAAAAACCTTCACTACTCCATTGTGTGTAGAAGTGCTTTCTAACACGTCTTCTGAATAGCCTGGCCATAATTCTTAGACTGTGCCCCTGGTTCTAGAATATTCAACTCGTGGAAATAGTTTATCATTAACAGGGAAAGACAGGGTAGATAATGTCCTGAAAACCTCAATAAGATCACCCCTAAAGCTTCTAAATTCTTGAGGAATAAAGGCTTACTTTGTCTAATCTCTCCTCATTATTTAGCCCTTGAAGTCCAGGTATCATCCTTGTAGACCTTTGTTGAACTCCCTCCAGGGCCAGTACATCCATCCTAAGGTGTAGTGCCCAGATCTGTTCACAGTAGTCTTAAATGGGGTCTAACTAGGGTTTTGTATAACTGCAGCATAATGTCTATGTCCTTAAACTCCAATCCTTTAGGTTTTAAGGTCAGCATTCTATGAGCTGCCTTGACTATTTTCTGCACCCATTCGTGGTATTTTAAAGAACTATGCCTTAAACCCCAAAAATCTTGAACGTTCACTATATTTATCTTTATGCATTCTTTAAAAAGAAACATTGATCTTTTCTTTCAGTCTGAAATGGATAACCTCACATTTGCTTATATTAAATTCCATCTGCCACAGCTTTGTGTGTACCTAATCTATCAATATCTTGTAATTTTATGCTGCTTCAACACTGTCTACTGGTTAATCATTCTTAAACCAGCTTAAACTAAATTTGGTAGGTTGTTTTGAAGCACATTGTAGATATTCTCAGGAAACCAACATTGTTTTAAACCCAAGTTCAGAAGTGCAACTGATTTATTTCTCAAACAGCTATCTTGTTCTTAAGTTGTTAATTTGTGCCAAATTGAGTTATTTTGAATTATTTTCATGTAGAGTCACCTGAGAAAAAACAGGTTAAGATTTTAAATCATGTTTTACTTAATAATCTTAATACTGATTCAGCTATGGACATCAGAGGAATGAGCAATGTGGAAAATTGCTGTTGTTGTAAACCTGACCATTCTATGATTAAATGTCTGAATTATCTTTCACTGTATTGATGTCTGTATTGTAAACCATGAATTCCAGCAATTCTTTCCTTCTGGAACCACTTCACATGTTAACTTGCTTTTCTGTATCCATTTAAATTAAAATATTAATTTTAACTGCAGCATTCTGAATAAGGGTCACTGGACTTGAAATGTTGACTCTGCTTTCTCTCCACATTTGCTGCCAGACCTGCTGAGGTTCTCCAGGAATTTCTGCTTTTGTTTCAGATTTCCAGCATCCACAGTTCTTAGTTTTTTGTTTACTGCTATTCATTTATTTGCTTCAAAGTTCATGGCCTTTGCTATCATTACAGTCAACACACAGGAAAATAAAGCCAAAAGATTGACATTGATCTTGTAAACAACACTTGTGCAAATAATATGATTATTGTTTTTATGGTAGAAAATTGCACCTGTTGAGACGTGCAGTCACATTCAATGGACCCCACTTTTTTTTTGTGAGTCCAAGTGGTACTGGAATCAAGATGTTGATTTCTAGTTGCAAGATTTTGCAAGAAAACTAGGGGACGGGTGTTTAAATGTTCATATAGTGCCGCTCGAACAAAACCTAGCGCAGCAAAATAAGCGTTAAAGATATCATTTGAAAGCTTGTTTTCTTTCTTTCTTTTTAAATTCAATATTATATTTCTGAAATTGGGCATTGGATCCTCTGAGTTTTATTCTTTTGTGCTCATCTAGTTAATGTGTATGTTCCCAAAAGCCAAATCAAGTGATTATCTTAAATTTTACTTCTTTAAGATGAGGTCAATACATTAAGTAATATTTAATGATTGAAATGTTTTGGTGAAACTAGTTGTGAATCAGTTGGTGTGTTGTTTTTCTGTGTACTTGTGCCTGTTGGAAATAGGGTTGAGCCTTCTAATGCTCCTTTTTATGTATGATTACTTCTATGTATCATTATCTAGAGAAGTTAATCTAATTTATTGGGGTATACTGTAAATCTTGGTCCAAAGCTGCACGGCTGACGCAACAGCCAGGCTGCATGCTAACGGATGACAAATTAGCTACTGCAGTTTTGATTGAACGAATGCAGTACAGATAGGATTATAAAAACAGAAAATGTTGGGAAAAGTCAGCAGGTCTGCCTGCATCTGTGGAGAGAAAGCAGAGTCAGCATTCAGTTCTGAAGAAGGGTGACTGGACCTGAAATGTTTACTCTGTTTTGTCTCCATAGGTGCTGCCAGACCTGCTGAGATTTCCCAACAATTTTTGCTTTGTTTCTGATTTCCAACATAGTCATAGAGTTGTACAGCACGGAAACTCGTTCATGCCAATGGGATATCCTAAATTAGCCTAGTCCGGCAGTTTTGTTTTTGTTCAGTGCAGATAGGATTATGTCTTAAGACCTTTGTACAGGGATCTAGAACATTGCTTCATTTGATATCTTAATTCTTCAAGCACTAGAGTCATGCTTCTCTGCTGAGAAACGTCATGTATGTAGTTATGTTTGATTCATTTTAATCAGCAAATGAAAAATAAATGTTTGAGTGTAACAGTGCTGTTAATAAGTATGGTGTGATAGGATATAGTAGCTTTAGTGGAGTCTTGGTGTAGGTTCAAGGAGAACTTATTAGCAATAACATTTTCAGAGAAGATATGAAAGTGTTGGTGGAAAAGAGGTAAGATGTCAGTTTGGATACATTCTATCACAACATTGGAGTGAGAGGATGTCTAGGGACTTGTGTTAAAACAAAACCCACATTGAAACAGCTAAGAAACAGGAGTGGAAACGATACAATTCTGTGAGCATTGCAGACCACAGGGTGAAATAGATGAGAAATTCAGTGAAATCTGAAGAAGCCTTTTGGCTAATACCTAGCAGTGCTTCTGAGATTAAAGTATTTTTGTAATCTAATGAGGAGAGATGTAATTGTTTGATTTAGGTTTTTGGAAATGAACTGATGAGCATCGTGGACAGATCAAAACTGACGATCCTAAAAAGAAGGCCAAATATGAGAAATAAACTCCTGATCGTTTGCTTTATAAATGAAAGAAGGAATTACTTTGGAGCATTTTAAAATGCGCACCTGGCTCTAGTTATTTTTATTCTTGGAACGTAATGACACAAGTGGGCCAATATATTTTACTTATTCCTTGCTGTCCTGTAGACCTGAAAAGTCTGGCATTAATGATCTGAGACTATTGGAAGTGCAGAAACACACTGTCTATATATTTTAGCGTTGTAAAGCGGAGGTTGACCCCACCCCCTCTGAGAAATAAAACTGAAACAACCAAAGAGGAGCACCTTGCCCTATAATCTGTAAAAGGAGTGAGAAAAGCAGTGTAACCTGCCTTTCAGCAACTTCTAGTGGTTACATAAAAATAAATCCCTGACACGCACTTGAAAATCAACAAGTAACAATTTATTTATCTAACAGTGAGCAAATTAACTAAACTAATAACAAACCGAATAAACCCCTTCTAACTACAAGTTTTTCCTGAATAAAGCAAGATTCAAATGGCATGTTGTTCCAATAACTGCAAATCCCACTTAAATCAAATTTTAAAAAGTAGGAAAATGTCTCTCCAAATTACAGCCAGGTGACGTCTTCCGGACTGTTCTGTGATTTTTCTGTTGATTCTTCTGTCAGGAACGCCTTCTCCATAGATTCTTCTGTCAGAAATGTTAACTAATTGTGTTGTGGATACCTTTGTTATTTAGATGGTGCTTTCTCTAAGACAATAGAGTAGGCTGTGAGAGCCAGCTATCCTCTCGACTGAGGGCTGTTAGCTCTGGCAGATGGCAGTTAGCTCTGGGGCTTTGTCCAACTGCCCCCTTCTTTTATACCCTTGATGACATTAATATTTCTTACAATAGGATTGATCGTGTGTTGTCAAAACCATCAGGTTTAATTGAATTGGTTTTTGGTATCTAAGTGCCGGTTCAAATTGGCTAAATTCAAAAGCCTGTTTTTTTGATTTTAAAAAAAAGAACTGCTGGTTGGCCTGCTAACTGTACAGCTTATTGATACAAATGTTTGAATTTGGGTGCTATCTGTGTACTTGCAAACTTTCAAGCTGTTACTCACAGACATCCTCTTTAAATCTCTAAGCACAGAAAAAGCACATCTTTTAAAGGAACTATACAATGCTTTCCCCCGAGCATGTTAGAACCACCAAATTCTAACTTCCTTCCTCCCAATCCACAAGTTCTGTACCCAACTTCACAACAGTAGTCATTAAATTCCTCCCTTCACAGCAGGAGAGAGCTCTATGCTTACATGATTGTTCAGAACTGCTAACTCTGGTGGATAAACATTTTGAGAATGTGGAATTTTCTGTTTTTCATCACCTCTAGAAATATTTGCTGAAGTGATTAATCCTAGAAAATTTGAGTACTGAGGATTTTTAAACCCAGACTTCTGCACATCAAAGGTCCAGGCTTTAACAAAGAGTCCTCGTGTTATTTGATTTTAGTCTATTGCAGAGTCCTTCAGATTTCAAAGTACTTCAACAATGACACTGTCTCGCAGACACAAAAATGGAAGGTTAGCTGCAGCCATAATTTTGTCCTTGGGATGACTATTAGAATATTTGTACTGTCATTTAAATGAAAATATGTTACATTTGTTTGGATGTAATGTTTATGATTGCAGGAGTGGTGGACCCATCTTTGGTTGAATGAGGGTTTTGCTTCCTGGATTGAGTACCTCTGTGTTGACCACTGCTTCCCAGAATATGATATCTGGACCCAGTTTGTATCTGCTGACTACACACGAGCTCTGGAACTTGATGCCCTGGACAGCAGTCATCCAATTGAGGTAGGCTAATTCCACCTTCCTGAGCCCTTGGATGTTATGTGGACATGCAGGAATGCTTTGAAATTGTACCCTGCGCCAAGCCATGACCTGCCATGGATCTTAGGATCTGTGTTTAATAAAGAACAATTGTCAGAAAATGAACTCTCTGACCTTTGTAGCTTAATTTATATGCTCCATGGGAATAATGGTTTTGTGGTTACAGTGTTCAAAAGTTCTTTTCTCTCAAAAGAATTGTTTTTTCCTGACAGTTTCATCCCCTGCCCCATGTATGTTGAAGGTGCTGACTTTTGTGGCAAACTCTGATGGGCAACAGTTGCCCTGCAGTATGTTGCCTAACTAGAAAATTCTTGAAGTAAATTCAGGCAGTCTGCTTAAGTGGACAGATTGTGTGATTGTACCTTCTCCTGGACCTATCAACTGTTACGTATATGTGTACTTGCCAATCAAGATCAAGTGGTGGCCAGATTTGAGAACCCGGATTCAGTTCCCATTCCTGGGATACTTAACGCAGTTGTATTTTTTTCGATTGTCTTAAAAAGATAGACATCAGATTTTGCCCAACTTTTCCATCAGTTATTCACTTCAGGTATTATTAAATGTTGAACTCAAAGTTGAGTGCATCTTCTTCACATTGAGCAAGTATAATAGTTTTTTTCTGAAGAAGGGTCTAGGCCCGAAACATCAGCTTTCCTGCTCCTCTGCTGCTTGGCCTGCTGTGTTCATCCAGCTCTACACCTTGTTATCTCAGATTCTCCAGCATCTGCAGTTCCTACTATCTCTCAAGTATAATAGTATTGCTTTTCACCATATAGTGTCACAGACATTAATTAAATTGAAATGTAAATGTTTTAGGCAGTGATCCCATAATTAAGATTTAATATGGGAAAATGTTTATGTTCATATTTCTGGCCTTCTTGCATTTCCACTGCACCTTGGTTCTAATCCCACAAATTACGTCATTTTCCACTGCAAGATTAGTTCTTTTTGCTGAAAGGCCATCAAGTAGGCAGAATAAAGGTAATTTTGCGCCCATCAATGAATGCAATGCACAAATCAGCACTGAAAAATAAGCTGCAGTTTTCTGCTGAGAAGAATAGTTGATCTTTTGAAATATTTTATCACCAGTGAGTCAAACTAGTAGTTTAATCACCATTAAAATTGTGAAGAAGAATAAAAAATTTAAAATGGTAAATGGGTCGTGCAACAATTGTGAAAAGAAAAGTAGACATTTCAGGTTGATAAACTTTCATCGGAACTGGAGTGTTTTTAAGCCAGTAGACCACGAAGAGATCAGAAAGATGAATGAAAAGGTATGATTCATTTTTCACTCTTCCCTTCTTGCTAGACCAATGTTCACAACATACCCACAAACTCTCACCTTGACTGCACTTCCTCTCAAACTGCTTCCTGTAAAACCTCCATTCCATCTCCATCACGTTTTTTTTCTAATGATGCAACTTCCTTAGCAGTGCCTCTGATATTTCTTCCATTTTCCTGCTCCCACCTGAATCCCCAATTAGCTTAAAAATCCTTGCATTTCTATTTCTCTTTGATTCTGATGAGAAGTTGTCAATCCAAATCTTTTTTTTTTGTTTTTCCCAGAGTTGTAGCCTGACCTGCTGACTCTGTCTAGCGTTTCTTTTGATAGGTTGTCCTTTTTTTTATTTAATTTGCATAGTCCTTATGAAACAATTCATGCCTCATTTAGACATATCTGTTGCTTCTTCACTATATCCATTGCGGCACTTGTTGACTGTTGCATTATGAAATCTCCACCCTATCACAGATCTTTTCATTTGTTTTTTTTCCTGTCCCCTCCCCTCTCCATAGACTTAAAAACTTTTGCATTTCTATCTCTATTCGGTTCTGATGAAAGGTTGTTTACCAGGAACTCTTGTTTCGCTCCACAGGTTTTGCCTGACCTGAATATTTCTAGCATTTTTCTAGTTTCAGATCTCAGAAACTGGAAGGGTATTTGACCAGGGCACGGAGACATGATCCAAGCCCTTGCATTAAAGTAATATATTCTCTCCTAACTTGTAAAATTCCATTTTAAATGTCTGTGCCCAGATTTATAAATAGAAATGCTGACACAGATTTATCAGGATCTTGACTCCATGTATTTGACATCTTTGGATAACTAACTGGTATACCCATGCACCCATCACCTATTGTTAAGACCACAATCAGGTTGGTTGTTAGATACTTGTATGCAGAGGTACAACCACACAGCGGCAGGTTGGTGAAATGACAAACTTGTATTTCAAGGTCAGGGAAGTTTTCATCCTATGTATTAACACCACCTGTAACACTACTGTCAAAAATTAAACATATTTTCCAACCAGCATGAGATTTTTATGTTATCCTAGTAATTTACAGAATCAGGAATCCCTGGAGTTCAGGTTAGCATAAAACTCTGGTATTGCTTTATGTTGTCGTTAGTTAAAGTTGAAGGTAACATTTTTAAACATTCTTCATCAGTGCAATTGAAGCTAACTTCCTTGAATCCACATAATAGATATTACAAAGTGTGTTCAAACTTCCTGCTATATTATATTTTTAAAAACAGGTAAATATGTTTGCAAGAGAGATATGTTGACATATTAAGGAAGGCGTCTGGGCCATATACTTGATAACTTCCTTAGAAACCTACGATTGCCTTGTTACAGCATCAACCTTGTTAAATGAATTGAGAATTTACCCTATCAAGGAGTCTATCCCATGCAGTGCTCTAAGCTCCAACAAACAGTATTGGTGGATGTGTCCTTTATCTATTTGTATTTATCCTGTTGTCTTTCAGTTATCCTTTAGTTTAAAATAGTGTTCCAAGTTCACTTTGTATTTTAATATATTGTGTGCCTCCTATGCTATTTCCTCTCTTGAGGATTTAATCTTCTTTAAAGATTGAAGAGTACAAATTGTTAAACTTATCTCCATGTTTCAGTTTTCTAACATAAATCAGTATTGTGACTAATGCCCCCACTTCCTGAGCTCTGATTTGATGTGACCTCCTTTGACATAACATTATTAAGTGTCCTAGAAGTGACCATGACTTGTGATGCAGCATGACATAGTTTGTCAGCGTGATGTTTCTAGTCAACAATTTTGAAGAATGAAATACAATAACTGAGAAAGTAAAGTCTAACAAATATAATTTTTTTGTTTCTATATATTTATGATTATTTAAATTACCTCAAAACGCATTTGATGTAATCAACCAATGGTATAAGTATACCTAAGCCTGTTTTTAGACACATGTACATAACAAGCATACTTGCATAAGCATACAATGTTTAGACTCTCCCATTATGGTTGAATGTTTTAACTTTGCAAACAAAAAGTATTAAAAATGCAATGTATTTTTTAAAGGTCACAGTAGGACATCCTGCAGAAGTGGATGAAATATTTGATGCAATTTCTTATAGTAAAGGAGCATCAGTAATTCGAATGCTGCACAATTATATTGGGGATGAGGTAAGACTCCTTAAATGCAAATTAGTGGTGTACGTGGTACTAGAGCTGTGATTTCATGAGAACCAGTGTTTAGAAAGTTTTCAAATGTATACAATTTGAACTTGTTCAAAAATGCAGCTTGTTTTGATGTTTCTATTTGAATGTTGGAAATTCTACATTGGTTCTAGAACACAAATATCTACAACAATACAGTGAATACTGTAGCCCCATATCCTAATGTGTTCTTGCAGGAAGGCAATTATCAATAATTATATTAACCCCATACTCCAATTTCAGGTGTCAACTGTGGCCCAGTGTGTAGTACCTTCTCCTCTGATTTAGATGGTATGTTTTCAAGTCCCACTCTGGATACTTGTGCTGGAATCTGAGTTAGCGTTCCGTCGCAGACCTGAGAGAGAGCTGCATTTTCAGATTTGTCACCCCGGAACAAAATGTTGTCTCCCTTGAGGTAGACATCAAAGATTCCTTGGTGTGATACAAACAACAGTAGGAAGTCTCTGAACTGATGAACAGTTACATCTTAAATCCGCAACTAAAACATGATCTGGTTATTCAACTTTCTGCTATTATTAGGACCTTGCAATGCACAATTGATTGCTGTTTCCTCACATGACAATGCTGACTACACTTCAAAATTAATTGACTGTGAGACACTTCAAAATGATCTGAAGACATGAAAGACATTATATGAATGTATTTTTTAGAAATATTAAAGCAAAGAGCAAGTATAATATGCAAATACAGAGAGTTCTGGAGCTATTTGGTACAACAGTCATTCATCTTCAGAGGAAAAGCAAGTTAATGTTTTGAATGTAGGCTCTTCACCAGAACTGAATTCTGATGAAAGGTTTGTGTCTGCAACACCAACTTGCTTTTCCTCTTTATTGTGTACTTTGCCATGTATTTTGTTAGTTTATGATTTCAGTTTTAAATTCATAGCTGCAGTCAGGGTTGAACACCCAGCCATTGAGCTGCCCTACATTCAAACAAATCCTGTCGTCAAATTTTAAAATATATGTCTGTTTTGAGGGCATGGGTGGAATGTGAATAAGGGATCCTGGGAGGTGATCAGAAGGTTATCATCTAATCAGGATCTAAATGTCATGAGGGAAGTTGGAAACAGTTAACAATTCACAGAATGCCTCAATCCAACAAGAGCTTTAAAATCTTCCCCTGCCTTGTACACAATTTACTGAGTTTATTTTTCCTGTGAGATTTTAGTTTTTTAAAGCCGTAGCATTAGTGCTGTTGGAATCTTCTGTTATTGCATGATTATGTTCAAAATATAGCATTGATCAGAATGGACTTATTGCAAAGTTCTTTTCAAATAATTTGCAATTGATAATTTGTTTTTAGTATTTCCACCAAATAGGCAAGTTTATTTTGGCACCTTTATGTTGTTACCATGTTTCTGTCTGCCTTGAACAGATCTCCGGAATTTTAAACCATTCTTGTTTTACCTGATTTGTGAGGCAAAGGTAATTAAAATAAGAGATCCATTACATTCATTGCCAGACTCTTGACTGATGCTGTGATTTTACACAAACCATAGCTACAGGACTAGAGTCAGATGCTTAATCATAGACCTATTTACACATCACATGCAAAGAGTAAACTGAGGAAAAGCTCTGATGGTCGTACGCTAGTATGTGGGGTCATAGGAGTGGGCAAATAAGAGGAAGGAGCATGAAACCTGTGATTATCATCTGCATTTCTGGAAAATTCCAAGAAAAAATGAATAAATATCACTTCTCAGAATTGCTTAGAATTAACAGGTTTTTGGGGGGAGAAAAGCAACTACTCTGCAACCTGTTGTTACATTGCAAAATTGTAATTAAAGTACAGATCATCCCCTTTCTCCTTTATCACATGTGGACATCAAGCTATATGATGAGTTATTTGAACCTGAAAGTTTTATAATAAGATCTTCATGTCCTACTTCACGTAGGTGGGCCCAGTTGCATCAGGCCTTGTGCAGGAGTTCATAACAACTCGTAGTTTATCTGCAAGTCATGGCAGTGGGCTGAGGAAAAAAATAAACCCTTCAAGGTCAAGTTACAATTCTTTCCACTTTCCTTAGTTGTTTTTGCAGAATTTTAAAAAAAAGAAACATTTTGAACCATAAAATTTAACAATTTTCTCTCAGTTTTTAAAAATTTAATAAAATATATATTCTTGCCATAAAATGGTGAGCTCCGAATTGGGATAAGCAGCTTACCACGCTGTGTATTGAAACATATCTGGATTCTACCTTGCCTCCTTTTTTCCGCATTAGCCTAGAAATTATTGATTGAGATGTTAGTGTAAAATTGTGTAACATGCTTGTTCGACACTTCTCTATCTGCCTGATTTTAATAGAGCAATTAACTCATTTAAAATAAGGTAACTTCTACCTCTTTCCGAATAGATGAGAAAAATGTCTCACAGGTATGTCAAATGCTTGTACACTAAAATTGCAAACAATATTTCCAGGCTAATTTTAAGCGCAGTGGAAAGTGGCTTGGTTGGTCACTGAGGTTGAGCGCAGAAGCATGTTGTTTCAGCACTCGGCCTTGTAAATGGTAAGATGATTTTAGAATTTTGGGGATGGATTTTATCCACGCCCCTTCAAAAACCAAGATGGACATGGTTCGTGTGGAACCATATCATGCATTTTTTTTTAAAGCAAGAATGCAGATACTTTATTTTGACATGTTGAGATTCCGACACTTAAATAAAAATGCCAATGTCCAGTCTTACTTTTTTCTTCCACCGTTAAAATTTTAAAAAATACTCAAACCTTAACTCTCAATAGTTGGATCTTGTATATGGAATTTTTAGATATTTTGTACAATGTTATCATTTATCCCAAGAATATTAATATTTGATATGTCACAGTAAGTGTTGCGTACAACTCAAGTTATTTTTGGATTGTCTTTGTTAGCAAGAATCTGGCTGATGTACATGCAATGTAATGTTTTATGGAAGAGGGAAGCGAGACTGGAATTTGGATGTCAACTTAGTGTTTTATATTTGGTGCCTGTTCTACTTGAGTTAGTCAAACAAACTGATTTTAAAAGGAAAAACTGTTGACAACTTTTATTTCAGTTTTACTTTAGTTTTAGCTAGGATGCTATTTTATATTTGCTACCATGATTGATTTGCTCATTTTAATTAAAAAGTTGTCCTTTGTTACAGGATTTCAGAAAAGGAATGAACCTGTACTTGACAAAGTTTCAAAATAAAAATGCTGCAACAGGTAGGCACCATTCAACTTAAGAATTGAATAAACTCTTTGTGGTATTGTTGTTCCAGCACTGGGAGTTGTCATAGAGTCTTGCAAACGTTCTTTTCTCCTAATTTTCATCAAAAGCTATCTAGTTATTCTTTTGTTTGCAGGATCTGACTGAGCAAATTAATAAAACAGTACAGTAAGCACTAAATTATTATAAATGATTTAGACTAGGACTCGGATTGTTTTTTATTTGCGGTAAGACTCTGTTTAAAGCTGTCTATTCTAATATGAACACTGCTTAAGTGTAGTCATATAGTGCTGGTCATTTTTTTGAAAACCAGCAACCAGGTGGATTATACAGCACAATCTGAACATTGAAGTGCTTTCTTAATCTTTGACACCAGCCTATTTCTTTATGTACTGAGGTTTCTGCCTACGGTAAAACAAGTGTTGTTGTTCTGGAATGCAGGTAGCATTGTAACTGACATTATTGGAGTGTTGAGTGAAAATTGGCAAGTAAGATTTGAATTACAAATGACAAATCTCTATCCTTTTAAAATTGCATCATTTAGTTTCACTGAAAAGAGAACTGTGATCTCAAAGATGTGATGGGCCGAAGGGCCTGTTTTCCACCATGTAGGGATTCTATTCTATTATAAAACTGAGCTATGAAGGAATTTCTTCAGAGTAGTGGATGTCTGGAATTCTTTATCCCAAAGAGTTGCTAAATCACTGAAAGTATTTCAAAAGGAGATAGAATTTTGAAATGTTGAGGAGTTGAAGGCTATAAGCTCTCTCAAAAGAGTTGAGGCCTGAGGCAGTTCAGCCTTCTAGAAGGGTGGGGGAGGCTTCACTGGTTGAATGGCCTACACCTGCTCCTATTTCTTATATTCTTACTTCAAAGGGATCGACAGTTGAAGGTTACTAGTGCTGTGCAGCTCACTTGTAATTGCTGGACACTACATGTTATCATATGCAGTTATCTGCCTTCTGCAAGCAGAAAGAATTTGTCCATATATTATCTCTTTTCTGAATTAAAACATGTTGTGGGAGGGTGGAATATTGAAGCTGGTGGTACTTTGATCTTTTGACTTAATTTTTTTTTTCCCTCAGAGGACCTGTGGAACTGTTTGGAACAAGCTAGTGGAAAGCCTATTAATGCTGTGATGAGTTCATGGACAAAACAAATGGGGTTTCCCCTCATTTATGTTGAAGAAAAACAGGTGTGTTGCTAGTCCAGTCATAATGTTATGATCCTGAATTATGTTACTTCTGAGCAAGTCACATTCCAGAATTAACTTAGGCTTCATAGATCATCTTTTAAAATTTAATGTGGCAGTCATTTACTGACACGTCACACAATCCTGCGGATTTGATATTAACAATAAATTAGAAATGTATTACGGAAAATAAATAAAAAGAATGTAAACCAAACAGTCTAAATATTTAAAAAGTTGAAAAAATGTTAAATACGCAGCAAAACAATACCCTATATATGACCCAGCACCACTTTACAGTTACTCAGAAACCAGACAGATTCCCTTCATTCCAGACCTGTTAGTTTGACTTTGCTGCTGCTTCTCCATTCCAGTTCTGTGAGCTATGAAGCCTTTTCCTTTGACCGATGTCACAACTGAGAGCTTTGACTTTCTCAGCCTTTTAAAAAAAACATAAAAAAGTAGGGTTCCAGTCAAATACACCTGGTGTGGAAGTTTCACAAACTACCTTTTCACTCAGTAACTTATTTCCTTAACTGCTCTGACCATTCTCCATTTTCTATCTCCATTTTCTAGGTGAGACTTTACTTGCATCTGACTTTAGTCAGGCCCTTTTAAAACCAAAGCTTTTCAACTAATTTAATAAAGACTTTTAATAGTCCTAAGTTCTGCTAAGCTAATGGCTTGGTGTTTTCCCTCTGCGGCCATAAAGCGCACAATATAAACATCCATTAACAGTCCAGTAACCACATACTGATTTAAAATCATGGTTCTGGAAACACTGACATTGTTAATTTCTAAACCTCTTCATTAAAAATAGACCAATATCATATGCCACTGATTTAAAACCCAACTTCTGAAAAAAAGAGTATTAATATAGATAAATCTCACACCTTTCATCACAAATACCTGAAGTATAAGGCAAAGTTTTAATAGACTCACAGAATCATAAACATTTACAGCACAGAAGAAAGTCAGACACCCTATCCTGCTTGTTCTGGATGTTTAACAGAATTTCATTCAAAAATATTTTAAACCATTTCAATTAATTGAGTTCCTGCAGTGGTTTAGGTTTTTTGTGTTTGAAGTCTTGATCTCGCTCTTTGTCTTTCTCACTGCTCCCTCTACCCCTCTGGCCCTTCTCTCTTTCACATGGCACAATATAGTTAGCTTTACTGAGTTTCCATTGAAGAGTGTTGCATGAGCTAGGGCTCCTAATCCTGTTTATTCCTACAAATTCTGCTCAAAGAATGTATGTATAGATGCTGGATGAAGTCATTTATTTTATCTATGAAAGCTCTCTCTGATTGATTGTTTACCCCAGTGCTAGTCAGAGAATGAAATACGTAGGAACAAACCTGCGAAAAGGAAAAGTAATTGAAATATCTTTTCTCCAGCTGCAACCTGTCCACTGTTGGTAATGCTGGAATCCTTTTATTATCAGACACATTGTCATAATGCAACATGGTTAGACAGTACTGTGCAGTCAGATAGTTCCCATCAATTGATAAACAATGATGTTGTGCTCAACTACATTCTGTTATCATTACTTTGGTAATGCGGTGTTGTTGTACAATAAAGTAACCTTTGAAAGGGAGACTTTGTCTGAGCTTCATGCTGTCAACCCCCTTCCCTGTAAATACTGATTTGTATATGTTTTTCAGCAAGGGGACAACCGAATATTGAAAATTTCCCAGAAGAAATTCTGTGCCAGTGGGCCATTTACTGGTAAGTGTAAATTAAATAACTGATGTTGTGTTATATTTATAATTTAGCCCTGAGAGTACTGAATAATACCTGTAAACTTTTAGAATATGATCTATCCTCTTCATGAAGCTTCTACAAAGATTGATTGTTAAGTTTTAATGAATATTGCAAAGCAGATTTAATCATCTTACTGTGATTCTCGAAGGTTGCACTTGCAAAATTGGTTTTATACGTCTGAAACAGATATTGCTTAAAGTAAAATAATTTAACATTTTTGGTAATTATATGGTTAAGATGTTAGAACATCATCCCAGCATCTAGAAGTCTTGGCAAGGGTGTAACATCTGCTAATTTTTAATTCTTCCACCCAAACAAAAGCCAGTCTCCCGCTACCCTGCCCCTTCATGGTCTTTCATGCCCGTCTCCTATCCCCTGCTGAAAACAGATGATTTAGTGTTAGCAGCTACATTTGCACAGGTTTGCATTTCACACACTAGCTATCCTTGTGATGTTGAAGTGAGGTTTTGAGTTTCACAAGATTTTAATATTGAAATATGGTTTTCTGCCAGATCCTAACAAGACTCAAAATGTTAAAGCAACAGCATTTTCAGTCAACTGTGCCACCTTTTCTTTAAATGTACCATTTACAAAGCATCTTCCAAAAATTTGAAATTTTTATAATTCTCTGTTGTTGGACCTTTTTTATTATTGAGCGTTGAAATATACCTCAATGTTAAAGCACCTACTCAGATCCAAACTGAGGTTTGTAACCAAGCTTTTGGCAAAGTGTGCATGTCACAGGAGAGATGGAGGCTGTTTGGAAGGGCATCAATTAGTGGGCGAGGTCATACAAAATTGGGGGCAGAAACCAGTAAATGGGGAACTGGGGAGGAGCACAATAATTGCGTAAGGTTACTAGGTAGTGGATGAATGGTGGAGAATGCCAACAAATAGGGGAATTAAAAGAGAACCACAAAAGTGACCAATAGATGGGCTATTTTCTCCAGTAAAGGCAGATGACTTGGATCAGTAGAATTATGAAGGGCTCCAACGAGATGTAGAGGAGATGTTTCGACTTGAGGGGGAGGGTTAGTGCCGTAAAAATTCTGAAGGAGTTTCTTTCCCCAGAAAGTGGTGATAAAGTAAAACAGCCTGCCACATGAATTGGTTGAGAGAGGTGACCAAATGCTTAGTCAACAGGTAGGTTTTAATGTTGGTCTGAGGAAAAAACAAGCGAACAATTTGGAAAAGAAGTTTGAGTCAGGTACCCAAACTGATGAAGGCATAACTGCCAATAGTAAAGGAGCTAGGGCATGTGCTGGTTGCCGGAGATGGAAGAATAGTGTTTTCTCAAAGGTTTGAATGCCTGGAGGAGATAACAGATACAGGTAAGGAAGAGACCATGGTGATTTGAACGTGGGAATGAGAATTTACAAATTCTATCAATGGACCAGGAGTCGTTGTGGGTTTGGTAAATAGGTCTTGATATGAGTTGGAATACAGTCAGCAGACTTCAGGTGAGCTCAAGTCTGTGAAGGGTGGGCAATGGCTAGAAGAGAAATCGGATTAGTTGAGCCTGGAGTCAACAAAAAGCATAAAAGGATTTGAGTGGCTGTTGAGAGTATTCGTAATTTGAGTGGGATTTGATATTCGGTTCAAAATCAGGTAGGTCACCTACATTTGAATGATCTTGTTCAGAAACAGCAATAGTCAGTGAGGCAATTGGAATTGGTGATTTAGGAGAAGAATTTAGTGAAGTGAAGTTCATAGTTTCAGTCTCTTCTGTTAAATTGAAGGAAATTTTCAGAGCTGGGTGTTGCATGAGCAGTGTTGACAATACCGAGGCAGTGGAGGGATCAGCAGAGATTGCAGTGAGGTAAAGTTGAGTGCCATTGGCATCCATGTGGAAAATGATGTTTCAGGTGATGTTGCTCAGGACTGCACTTAAATGAAAAATAGAAAATGGGATCAAGGATGGGTGCTTCCAGTGTAGGAGTGGGAAGAGAAACAATCTTAAGAAATAAAAAAAGAAGTTGCTGGGAAAACTCTGTGAAGAGAAAGCCGATTCCTTGTTTCAGGTCCAGTGAACCTTCTTCAGAGATTCTTTGACTACGTAAGGATCAGTCGGAGTATAACCAAATAAAATGAGTCCCACTCAGCTGGACCACAGGGGAAACACCTTGGAGGAATTTGTACAGTCATCCATACCTCATTACTGGTCTGTGCTAAGTTAGATGATCTCTGCTGAAATAGTAATAGGGAGCTACAGTTGACCATATTGTCCTCGAGTAAAGAAGGGGAGCTAGGAACATTTCTGTCTGTAATCGCTGCCTATTGTTCAATGTGGGTGAACACTATTTGCCTCTGCTTTGATTCCTTCTGTGGTCAGATTCTCTGCCAGCCGTCGATGTTTGAATTATGGATGCCTGTGGGGTGAGAAGCTAGTTGTCAATCAAAACCTGTGAATTATCTTGCAACATGATTCAGTTTCCAGGAAAATCAGAAAATTGGGAGGGGTGAAATGAATGTACTAGTTATTATTTATTTGTCGTATTTATCAGTAAGATTCTTTTTCCAAAATTGCCGAGTATCAGAAAATAAACATTTCACCAAGTTTCACTCATGTAGGTGAGTTATTTTGGCTGTGAACTGATTTAAATGGCAAACAGTCACCTTTGAACATTTTACTTCAGAGATGAGTCAGTTTGTGCTGTGCCATTTTACTATACATGATCAACATTGTTTAATTTGCAGTCAGACAAATGAGTAATTTTTTTTAAAATTAACTCCTGTGTTTAATGTTGCTCCTGACTGAGACAGTAAGCAGATGATCTACTTACTAGCACATTGTCAATCATTCTTGAATCAGGAGATATGAATTATGGTACTGGCACCACACAGCACAGATCAGGGATTGATGAAGAATGTGCATGCCTCAGTGTCTTTTAAACACTTAGCAGTGAACGAAAGCTCTTAAAAGTATTATGAGTTGACTGTTGTGGTGGAACATCCCAAGATGAATCCTATGAAGGATTTTTCTTAAAAAGTATCATTCTTAATTCAAAATTATTAGTTGTATAGCTGGTTTTACTTTGAGTCAATTTGATTGTAATTGGAAGTCCCTCTCTAGCTAGTTAAGTATTGTAGCAGATTCAATCAGCTTTTTTTTAATGGCATCCCTTTGTGATGTTCTCCTGTCCTTCAAAACTTAACAGACTTTTCAAAAAATGCTGGGAATCAGCAGCAATCCAACCATACAGGCAACTGCTCCCAGTCTCTTCTCTTTGTTTCCTTCCATTGAGAGATATATTTTAAAAGAAAGGTGAAACATTCATGACTAAGGAAGTTAAAGATGATAAATTGAGAGAGAAGGGTTTCAGTATTATGAGGATTAATTGAAGGCCAAACAATTCATAAAATACTTAAAAATGTGACTTTGAAAGGGGAAGGAGATAGATTGAATAAAGTAGCAAGAAATATAAAAATATAATTGAGATTCATGAAGTATACAAGGAGGAAGAGAGTACCAAAAGTTAATTTTGATCCCTTTGGACTTTGGACTGGGAATTAATTACAGAATATTAAGAGATTACAGAGACTTTGATTAAGTGCTTGCATCTCAAATAAATTGTTTCAGAATAAGCGTATCCATGTAAATGGAACTAATGAGTAATTTCTCCTGCGGGTCCTTAATCTTGAAGTTCTCTACCTCAGTTATGGAAGCTGAATCATGAAAGACAGATTCTTCAGATTATCAGAACTGCAGGCAGTCAAAGGTTTTGGGGAACGGGGGCAGCAAAATGGAGTTAAGATCATGGCTGATCTGATCTTGACCTCGAGTGTCACAGGCTCAAGGGGCTGAATGGCCTACTCCTATCTGTTTTGATCTTGTGTTTATAAGAGCTAGTCACTCTCAATCTTTCAGTTGGGTAACCTGTTGTGGATATTGAGCACTTTGCTATTTTATTTCAAAATTTATTAGATGCAGGTGATTTACTTTTATCTGAAACTGTTAAATTAACCACTTTCTGCATGTAAAATTTCTGAGTCATTGTTATTGTTCATGAAGCCATAATTGTTCAAAAGTCCTATCTTGCTCAAATCGCAATTTTCTTGTACCAATAAAATATTATCTGAAGGAATACCTTTACGAACCTGTGTGGTGGCTTTGGCATAACCAATGGAATGAGCATTACCCTCTTCCCCCTTGTTACAGTTGGATTGAGTCATAGAGTTGGTGGAGGAATTAAGAGCCCCCGTTTTGGGGGCTAACCTTATTGATGACATCATTGAGTAAGTTATCCTGGCTTTTAAAAACTATTAATGATCCAGTTCAAACAGACCAAATTAATCCCATGAAAGAACTATTAAACTGAATTTGGAGAAAGGGGAGTAAGTTTGTAAAAAGGGAATAAAGTGGTTGATTGAAGTTTGATTTTCAATATCTGCAATTTTGACATCACTTTGGTCTTTTTGAAAATATTGAAAGGATTGGAAGCATATTTATCATTCAATTATACTCATCTGTCATAAACTGGAGAGTGGACCCTAGCAAGATGAACTCTAAAGATTTGTTTAAAATCCATATTTATTTTATTTCATTAATGTCTTTCTCTTCCGACTGATGGTGGAGTAGACCTCGAAGGGGCACAACTGGTGTCAAGTACCGTACTCAAGTGCTCCTCCTTTGAGCTTCGTTCCATGAAGGACCTAATGGCCTGATACATATGTGCCAGCATTTCATTTGACGGTGATCAAGATTGTAAAAGTTTTGACCAATTTTCCCCTTCCCAATTCCCTGGAGCTACAAGATCAAATCCTAGCATACCTTTTAGTCTTCCTGCTGCATTAAGAAATTCATCTGAGCCATTGATCAAATTTAGATCTTCCTGTTGAGTAGGAGTCCTGTGCCACAACAGTCAATGCATCTACCCTCAAAGCTGTCTAGGAACTTGATTTTATTTCTTTTAAGTAACATACATTCTGTTCCTACTTCTGTCCATTGAGGGAAAATGGAGTCAGTCTTCTCAGGGCTCTACTACTTAAATCCATTCATGTATAAGTACACCTCTCCTATGTTTCCCAGGTAGTGACTGTCCTCACTGGATGGTCCCTATTAGTATCTGCACCAGTGAAGATGTAAGCTGTGATAGTATGAAGGTGTTACTGGACCAGCCAGAGATGACTATCACTGTGAAGAATGTGAAACCGGACCAATGGATAAAGGTAGGTCACCAGAGAGCTTCACAAGTAGATTAGGCTGTGTATTCTTTCTATCTTTCATTTAAATAGACTTTTGATCTGCCCTTTTGGGTCCTTGCAAAATGGTGAACAGGCAATCTGCCCTGAGGCCTCTTCCAGCATTGCTCTTTAGTTTGTTTTAAGTGCATAAGGAAAATGAAATGACTAACTTAACCCTGCTTCCAATCGCTTGAGGTCTAGGTGCCTTTATTTGAAGGGATTTTGATACGGTCCAGAATTCTTTTTCTAGCTCTAGTTCTTTGGTGCAATGCTTTGGAGCCCCAGTGTGCTGCTGTTTGGAGTTCATAACTCCAATTGTCAGGAAACTGTCAGTTTGATCTTATACTTTTGATGATTTGGGAAATGTACTGACTGGAGACCTGGCATAACTATGGTCTAGTGTCACCTGGCAAAAGGAAAGAAATTCCATTCAAAAAGAGGAACTTTCAGCAATCCATTCTTTCCTGCTATCATTTTTATTAAAAAGAGAAAAAGTACAAGTCACACAACTGGGATTCAGATTCTGGCCTCTTGAATTGAGATTTCATCTCCATTTGTTTAAGTTATTTTCCTGACACAAATCATAGTGCAGGATTGGAATTTGTCCAATGGTACATCAGCCATACATGTACAGTTCTTGTAGATTGTTCTTCAATGTCCTCTGCTGTAGAAGAGTTGAGAAAGAAGTAAAAACACAAGTTAAAATTGTAGTCATCTTTAAAAAAAAAAAAGAAAATGCTAGACATATCAAGCTAGGCAATCAACATGTGTAAAGAGAAAAAGTTGCGTGAAATTTTCAATTGTGTTTTAATCATTATTTTCTCTTTACAGATGCTGACATGATGGAATGTCCAGCATTTGTTTGCTCTTAATCACAGTATGAAAATATTTTTCTTAAGTCTCCTGCACTACAAGGTTCTATTGTTAATTGAGCTATTTAAGGAGCTATGGATGCAAAGACTACCTGGTCTTTACAAGGCATAGCACAGATAGAAAGGTTATTTGTTTATTCTCAAACTTTGTCTTGTGGAATCTCTTAAAATTTCATCAGCATTTAAACTGTTGATTGTAGAACCCATCTTCTTGGGTATCGACCACGTGTTGTACAATCTCTTGACAAGAAAGACATACATCCCTTTAGACTATGTAAGATTAGGTGAATATAATGAATAAGAAATTATGCTGCCAGAAGAGTCGTTTGACAGTGCTTAAAATGGACATTCAGTACAGACAGTATGTAGTATTTGATTGTGAATGTCCTAAATATTGCTTGTTTTAGAATGTGTAATCCAGTAATTACCCTTCACATTTGCTAAACAATTATTGTAGTTGCATTCTTCTTTCAGCTTTGTAGTTTGTTTCCTTTGCTACATTTTAAATTTATCCTGTAAAATTGTAAGGCCCGTTAATCCAGAATATAAATCTCGGCCTTTCCAAACATTTGCGTGTCTCTCTTTGTACATCTGCGTCCACCTCTTTCTGTGTGCATGTTTGTGTCTTTCATTCGATGTTGCTATGACATCCTGTCCCTCTCGAACCTTGACACTCTTGTATACCCTCCTCCCTTTTTCCCCTCCCCCTTCTACCCATGCCTCCTCTACCCTTCTTTTCAGTGCTCTGAAGCTGTTCATTCACACTCATGTATTTGCTCTCTTTCGGACCCTGTGCTCACTTTCTTTTCCAACCTGTATGTTCACTTTATTTAATTTTTCTCCGTTAATATTTTTTATTTTCTTGGTGTGTCTTCTTTGCCTCTCCCTGTCTTCATATTTCACTCCTCCACTCCTTGTCTCTCTGTTTGTGCCTTTTTGTCTCCATTGTACCCATTCTCCATCTGTTGCATTTGAGAACACAATGCTTAAGTTCTTAAAAACAGTAAATAAGTAGGTGGTGCTCTGTCCTCTAAACCTTATCAACTAACTTTCCAGCTACTGCCAAATGGACTTTCGAAAAATATATTGTATAGCTTAAGCACAGTGCATATCCGAAGTCCTTTTTATGTAAATGTATTTAAAGCTAGTTTGCTTCATGTGTTTGTTGACAGCCATAATATGTTATTTATTTGGATGAAATTTGGTGAAATGTCAAATAGACTTACTAATCTTCTCCTTCAAGGGAAGGAGTGCAGTTGGGACCTTAGGTATTTGTTGGGATCTTAATTTTTTGATAAAATGAAGCGGAGTCATCATTAACTTATTTATCTTGGGATCAGACACTGGTCTGTTGCGATACTTAATAATTTAGCTATTGATAATGCAGAGAAATAAGTTTAAAAACCATATGCATGAAGAGACTGTTGGTTCATATCCATTCTGGTCATAAATTTAACTTTAAACATATTGTAAGATCACCTATCTTCCCAGTGCTGTTTGCAAAAATCTGGCAACAATCTAAAGTCCCATTTTTATGGTGCACTGATCTATAAAAGCGACAGCAGCAAGCAGTTACATTTATACTTCTGAGCTGCTTTATGTTTGCACATGAGGGTTGGACCCAAATGTACAAATCCTCTCAAACCAAAATCTTCTATTGGCTATGCAGTACCCTCAGGTTATCAGATCCAGCTGATTAACCTGGCTTCCAGAATCAGCTCCTTCAAGCTCACGGCCTTACTTATGCTTGAGGATAAAACACCTAACTTAGTTTACCTTTGTCGAGCTAGATTGTAATCCAGGACAATAATTTACTCCTTGTTTGTATTATTCAGTGCGGCACTTCAATTTATGGCTATTTTTACTCAAATAATATATATTTGGCACTATTATGCAATCTGATAAATCTGGAATAATCATTTGTAAAATGTGAAAGGAATCTCTTGTACAAGAGGCATAGTGTGTACAATTGAGGTGTTCATGATCCCCACATATTTTACCCTCAATAGCTCAGAGGGGAAACGGAGGTAGGTCCAGGGCACTTGGTTTGTGTTGCTTAGTTTCCAAAATGGTTGCTGCACTACTTCAGATTTACAGATGAATCTGAATATTTTGTAGCCCAACCAATGCATAAATCTATCCATTAGTTGTTGATAATAAACTAAATCTGATATTTTATTACTATGTATGTATAAACTGAGACAATGAAGAGAACAGTGGATTAAAAGGTATGACTGCTTTCATAGTTTTGATCTTGATGGCTATCTCATCTATAAATCTGGTCATTCCTAGACCCCTTTAATGAGTGGGGATGCAACTGTTGCGGAACTCATACTGCCTTTGTAATAGATTTTTTTTTTAAGATTTGATGCAGACAAGCTTTTGAAACCAGTATTAGGGTCAGGATCCTCCCTGCCCCATTCATACTGGAATTAGTGAGTCAAAAAAAAGTTTTTGTTTTTCTCCTCCTTTCTGCACAAAAGCATCATTCCTCTTTTTTATTAGGATTTGAGTAATCATCATCATGCTATAGCTGAATGCTAGTAGATGAGCACCTACTTGAGGCCAGTGTCATTAAATCTGTGAGTCTGAAACTGGAGTAATATGGTATGATCCATAATCTGTGTAATAATCTGAACTCAAGTCTACTGTTATGTTCATTCATTCCCCACAGTTTCCAAACTGAGCAAAACCTCTTTCCCTCACAGCCACTTTGAAGTCAATTGATGGGACAGATGGCATCAAACTTGAGAGGTGCTGTTGTTACATTGACATTTTCAGAACGCCTGAACTAACTTAGCTGTTTCATTGTAACTTTTAGTGATTTGATTGGATTGACATTCTCCAAATGTTACATACATTCACTAGGCATCATCTATACTGGTCCCTGGTGATCATATATAAATTTATCGAATGAAATACACTACTGACTTCAAAATGGATATTCTAGACTACTGAATAGATGTACATTAGGATGTTGATACAAGTGTGCATGAATCAGGATCTTGATACAAGTATGCATGAATCATGTTTCTGCGGTTTTTGTGTTTTAAAACTTTAGTTGAACCCAGGAATGGTGGGATTCTGCCGCATTCAGTACAGTCCAACAATGCTTGAGAGTTTACTGCCCAGTATCCGGAACCTTACACTCCCTCCTGTAGACCGGCTAGGGCTTCAGAATGACTTGTTTTCACTGGTAAGTGGGAAGTGAGATGGAAAATATCCACCTTAGAGTATGTTGTTCATGTTACTGAAAATGTGTGTGAATCTGAGCTACAGGAGATTTGTGAAGCATCATAATTCTTGCAGAAACCTCAAAATTCAATGTACTTCTGAAAAAGTTGAACAAGTACAAATTTGTTCTAAATATCCACATGGTTCAGATTCTTTACACATAGAGAAGAATAGCTGGGAGTACGTCACAACTTCAAATGGTATTTAAGTAAACTGAAGTCATTTGGGTACTCTGAGTGCTATGAATGGATTGTTTGATTCACATTACTCCATAGTGATAATTTGACCCTACATGGCTTTCTGTAGATTATGTTGTTCAAGTTCAACAATTAGGTTAATCATGATGGTCTCTCCATGGTTTGAAATTTTCAATGGAAACTGGAATTGCATCACTTCAATGGGTGGTAGCCTCTGTGATGGTATTTTGTGTGTAGTGGCCGTTTACCAAGCTACTGCTGACATAGGGGTCAGGAAGCTCAGTAGCCTCAGCCACACCATCACCAGCTGTAGCTACTGCTGTGACTGCAGCACAAGTAAGTGTCTTTTGTAATGCAGAAGACCCAGATGATCAAGTGTTGTAGGGGGAAGGGGATCAGGGCAGTAATTGTACTGCAGTAGGACTTATCTGGGGGAGCCATCACTTCTTAACTGACCAGTTCTGGATTTATCACCCTACTGAGTTTCCCACCATTGGCAACATTCATGGCAGCAGGGGGATGTGGAGATCCCCTCTTGATGTACTTCCTGCTACATTACCAACTCTCCTGCCAACAGGCTGGAAAGATTCCATTCCATATCATTGAATAATAACATCTACAGTGCAGGATTAATAATTGAGCTGCTAGTGTTAGGAATTTAGCATGTTACGAAGAAATTTTAACCTATGAATAAAGGCTGATGCTAACCACCACCATTTCAAAATATAACTTGATCAAAGTTTTTGGGCTATTTGTTTATACAGTGTAAGACATGAGGTCACTCTAGTCTTAATGCTCCTCTCAGGCTCCTTAGAACCAGCAAATGTAATCCCAAGATGAAGGCAGACCATGTAAGACTGAGCGAAGAAATTCCTGATGCAAGGAGTAGTGAATCTTTGGAATTCTAAACCCAAGAGCTATGGAAGCTCAATTATTGTCGCAACTCTGAAATCAATAGATTTCTGGAGACCAATATCATTAAGGAATATGGAAATAGTGTAGGAAATGGCATTGAGGAGATGATCAGCCATGATCTGGAATGGTGCAGCCAGCTTGATAGTCTGAATGACCCCTTTTTCCTATGTGCAAGATATATTTTGCTTGAAAATCACATTGAAAATATTACAAATATTTTCAATCTTAAAATACTTGAAGTGTAACTTTTTGAACTACTTGAGGAATATGGGGATTGGGTAGGAAAAGTAGACTGAAGTTGTGGTTCAACTGTAATCTTAACAAACAGCAGAACAGGCTCAAAGTGTAAACTGGTCTACTCCTGTTTCTTAAATTCATATAATATAGAATAAAAGACGTGGACCAACGATCATTCAATACTTACATATTTAAACCCTAATATAAATGTTTGATAATGGATCACAATAACTGTATCACTAAACTTGATGTTAAGAATCTAAAAGAAAATGATTGTGTTGAGGAAGTTATACATATTTTATTTTTCCTTTTGGATATCCAAATTAAGCATTTATTCACTGAGTACAGTTTCAAGGTCCAGCTCGTAAGGCAATTTCTACTGAAGAAACTTCAGGATTCCAACTCCACTTTACCAAATTTTTGGGGAGATATAGGACTTATGATTATAAACGTAAATACAGATTGTGCAGGCCCCTATCAAAATTCAGATTGTCTTTTCATTTTGCTTTCATTGCCCCGCCTGAGTGTTTTGAGATATTAATCAGTCTTGTGGGAAGTAGCATTCCTGTCACTTGTTCTGAACTTATTCTTTTTAGCCAGACTTTTACACATTTCTTCTTATCATGCAGATATAGTCAAATTTATCTCCAATACAAGTTATCTTTCCACTTAATTCATGTCTGTTCAGTGTTGAAGAATGCAAGTTGTGCAAACAAATCTTTATAACAGTGATCTGACACTGTAATTGCCTTTTTGGCATTTCTCTTTAACAGTTTGAAAGCTTGAAAGTTTCTTGTTCTTTGACCACTGCTGAATGGATTATTCAAGATCCACCCCAAACAAAGCATTACACAATATCACTGTGATGACCTCAGATTTAATCTGACGATCTAATTGATAATTCTGTTTGATTTGCTAACAACTACTCTGCAATTACCAAACAGCTGTCAAATCTTTTAACATCTCTCCACCCCTGTAATTAAGTTGATCCAACTGACAGCACAATGACCAAATATGCATCTCGTGTAGGAATGGTGGGTAGATGAATTAGAACACAATGTATTCACCCTTAGGATCTGGGAATGAAGGTATCTTGGACCAATAACATTAAAGTTTCTCTTCCATTGACTATAATGATCCCACACAGTTGTGTGTAATGTAGTGTCACACTAGTGGAAAGAGATGTTTTTCTGATTTAGCTCTGCTACCTTTCCCCAAACCCCCTTTTCTCTGGTCCAGCTTCATGGCATTACCTTGTTTCGGTGTAAAGCTTAACCACTATATCATAACTGACATTACTGGCGATTGCTTTGTTTTCTACCCCTAAACAATGACCTTCAAAATCACCCAGGAATATATCCTTGGCCTTCATCCATCCTCCGTCACATCATGTCATTTTGCAATATCACATTGAATCATAGGGTTAGTTTCCAACAGTTTGGTGATGTCTCACTCTAAATTGCCACATTCTTTGATCCTGTGTTATGAAACTGCTTATTCAGTATTTTCCAGTTTCCTTGAGCTAAAGGGGCGATCGAAATGATTGTTAGAAACCTCTACCACAAATTCCATATTCATTACAGCAACATTACCCCCGCCTTGCCCACTGTCTGGGAGTGGAACTATGGTGACATTTGACCCGAAACTAACTAAGTTTAGTTGATCATCCTCTCCCAATACGATGTCTGCTTACATCTACGTTTCTAATACCTACCTTATTCTTTCTTCACACTCTAACTGCTGCTGAAGCCCTTGGAGGCAGTTGTCATTTTCACTGCACTCCTAGACTGACTCAGTTTTGTTTCTGTAAACTTTAAGTCATTTAAAACTTTGCTTAATGTCCTGTCCTGTCCTGCACCAGGTTCTGATTATCCATTAATGCTATCCAAGCTGATCTGTGTTGCTTCGAACTTAATATTTTGATTAACTAAATTTGAATCCCTTCACCAGACTTGCTTCCTTTCACTGAACGTCCTTCAATCATTCAAACATCCTTCACCCGCTCTGCACTATTCCTACCCTCCTTCAGAACAATCTCCCCCAAGCCATTTTCTCCAATAGTCAGCTTTACCTTCAGTCTCATTTCCTGGATTTTGGAATTTTTCTCTCAAAATCCCTGCACCTCCCTTTTAAATCTATGATTTATGTCCTCTCTGCTTCATGTTGATTTTTGCTATCATGAGGGGTCCAAGCATTTTGCATTCAGGACTCAACATACTGTCTTCTATTTAATTGTAAGATGGCATGACCAGGATTCAGTTAGCTATCTTGTATTATCAAAAGGCTTATTCAGTATTAAATGAGTTGCAGTTTCCTTCAGCTGAACATTGGGAAAATCACTTTCGCACATGCACCGGTCTAGTCTTCCACACAGTGGGTTGTGAACACGTGAGAAAAGCAAAATCACATATGAATCATTAAAAACTGTTTCACTTTACAAAAACAAGTGGAAGTATAGATTAAAAGTTGTCATTAAGTCTCAATAACAAAAACAAAGTTGCTGGAAAAGATCAACAGGTCTGGCAGCATCTGTGAAGAAAAAATCAGAGTTAACGTTTTGGGTCCTGTGACCCATCCTCGGAACAGAGTTCTGAGGAAGGGTCTCTGGATGCGAAACATTAACTCTGTGGACTTGATGGGCTGAATGGCCTGCGTCCACTCTGTAGGGATTCTGTGACTTCATAATTAATTTGCTAACTCAGTCTAGAGAAATAGCCAAAAAATCTCAATGTCAGTCCCTTCTTAAAACCTACTTCAGCCTTGCTTTTGGCTATGCTCATCACAGCTTTTTTGGTTTGTGATCTGCTGTCTCCCCTCCCTTTTGGTGAATCGTAGAATCCTTTTGAGACATTTTCAAATTTAAACTTTTATATGAATAAACTTTTTAACCTGAGATATAATTTTGAAACAGACTGAAAGCAATCAGATTATGCACGATGTTCAGATACATGGTTCCTTGAAAGTGGCATCACAAGTAGACCAGGTGGTGAAGAAGGTGTTTAGTATACTTGTTTTCAATGATCAGAGCATTGAGTATGGGAGTTAGGACGTTATGTTGCAGCTGTATATGACATTGGTGAGGCTACTTTTGGAGTACTGTGTACAGTTCTGGTCACCCTGCTATAGGAAGGATATTATTGACTTTGAAAGAGTATTTAAAAGATTTACAAGGATGTTACAAAGACTGGAGGGTTTGAGTTATAAGGAGAGGCTGGATAGGCTGGAACTTTTTAAACTGGAGCCTAGGAGATTGAGGGATGGTCTTGTCAAGGTTTATAAAATAATAAGGGGCATAAATAAGGTGAATAGCAGAAGACCTTTCCCTCGGGTAGAGGAGTTCAAAACAAGATGGCATCATTTTAAGATGAGAGGGGAAAGATTTAAAAAGGACCCCGAGGGGCACCTTTCTCATAGAGGGTGGTTCATGTGTAGAGTGAACTGCCAGAGGAATTGGTAGATGCCGGTACAGTTAGAACGTTTAAAAGACAGGTACATGAATAGAAAGTTTTAGAGGGATATGGGCCAAATGCAGTCAAATGGCACTAATTTAATTTGGGAAATCTGGTCGGTATGGACGAGTTGGAATAAAGGGTCTGTTTCTGTGCTGCATGACTGAGTAGAAGAGTCCTTACTGAGGTATTAAAGTATTTTAAATGTTTAGGACAGGATCCACTGCTGTAAAGAATATATCCCCTTCATCAGCCTTCCCTTGCTACCTGCGGATACGGTGAATCTGTCTATTTGGCATTTGTGTTGATTGTGTGGAACAGCCTTCTAGTTTAAAATCGAGAAGCATCTGGTTATTCAAAGACTTTGGCATACTTGAATCATATGATTACTTCACTTATGTAAAAGATGTTTTAAATTGCTGTCTTGTGACAAGCGTACTGATGAGTTGTTTGTGAGATAATTGGGAGGTTAACCAAGTAGCCACTCTGGCTCGTTTCCAAATGAATGTCGCAGTGTTCACAATCTGGATGTGAAGCAAATTTGTGTAATGGGTACAAAGCATTAGACTACAGCGCAAAGACATTAGATAAAATGCTCATGGTCGTCCTGGTGACAAAGCACTTTGACTTCCTGCACTGCTAGAGACAGTCTTTGCAATTCTACCACCTACTGAGTTTGATTGTGCTGTTTTAAGGAGGCATAAGCTTGGGGAAGAGGATAAAATTTATATTCCCAGAAAAAAACAACAATATTTCAGGAAAAAAATCTTCCTATCATTTGTATTTGAAACAACAATATTGTTGAAATTTTGTCTGTAAGAATTTGACATATAAAATTTAAAGTTACTGAATGATCTTAGTTGTGAAGTGTTTTGGGATATCCTTAGGATATAAAATGTACAATATGAATATTCTGTTGCAACACAGTGGGAAGGAACATAAAATTAAAGTGCTGGACAAACTGAGTAGGTCTTGAACATCTGTGGAGAGAGAAGCAGAGATAATGTCTTGAGTCCAAAAAGATTTTTTCTTTGGGACTCATTACTTGAATTTACTTCAAATCCATATTGGGAGCACTACAACATCCAGTTGGAGAAGTGCTAGCAGAAGGAAAGAAGGAAGTTAATTTGCTTGAAGTTTGTCTTTCAGAATCAAGTGGGGGATACTTGGTATATAGTCTGGTAGTAAGGCATGCACAAATGATGGACAAATACAGATCCTTTATCAAACCTATGCTTGTGAGAAAGTGGTATAGGTATGATCTTGTAACTTGGCACACTGGGTCTGATCTGTATACATGAATGAGCTCAGAGTGAGTTAAAATCTGTCCGATTGTGTTGAAAATATTTTCAATGGTATCTTTCCTCACATTGTAAAAGAAATTTCCAGAAGCGATAGTTGGTGCAGCTGTATTGTGCGGAGCTCTGACAAGTTCATATTTATCCATTAGAAAGCAGATAAGCGCCACCAAAGCACACTTAATTGGCATGAAATGCATTTAAGTTTTTTGACAGCTTTGGTAAAACTACAAGTGAAGTAATGGAATGGCAATTTTAAACCCATATTTACTTAATTGACTTTTATGAGACAGCTAGTTTCACTAAGTAGCCTGCCACAGTCGGGATGTACGATCAATAGAAGAGGCGATTCGTCAGTGCAGGAAAATGGTGACTTTTGCTGGATGTGCAGATTTTGGAATGATAATTCTTTGACAGAAAATGACTCCAATTCTGAGTCTTTTCACTGGTTTCTTAAAGCACTTTTGAGTAACCCAAATGTGCACAGGATTAAATAAATTTAGTTTGCCAATTTGACATTCTCCAAAATACAAAAGGCTGAGATTTGTTGTTACTCTAAAGTATCATTACTACTTCGATACAATACTGACTTATCCATTTGGGTTAATGTATCAGAATGTCAGTAATGCTAACTTTAGTTCAAAATTGAGCTGGTTTTTGATGTTAAAGGTGTTGTATAATTGCAAGACAACAAGGTGCAGGGCTGGATGAACACAGCAGGCCAAGCAGCATCATAGGAGCAGAGAGGCTGACGTTTCGGGCCTAGACCCTTCATCAGAAAAGGGGGAGGGGAAGGGGGTTTTGAAATAAATAGGGAGAGAGTGGGAGGCGGATAGAAGATGGATAGAGGAGAGGATAGGTGGAGAGGAAACAAACAGGTCGAAGAGGCGGGGATGGGGCCAGGAAAGGTGAGTGTAGGTAGGGAGTTAGGAAGGGGATAGGTCAGTCCAGGGAGGACGGACAGGTCAAGGGGGCGGGATGAGGTTGGTCGGTAGGAGATGGAGGTGCGGCTTG